AAGTTTGCACTTAAAGTTTGTACTTATAGTTTGCACTTAGACTTTATACTTAGAATTTGTACTTAAAATTTATAACTAGAGTTGGTACTTAGACTCTGTACTTAAAGTTTGTATTCTGAGTTTGTACTTATGATTTGTAATTTTAGATTGTTTTAGAGTTTGTTCTTAAAGTTTGTACTTAGAGTTTGTACCTAGATTTTATACTTTGTTTGTACTCAGAAGTTGTTCTTAGAGTTTGTTCATTGAGTTTGTACTTAAAGTTTGTACTTGTAGTTTGTAATTATAATTTGTTCCTAGAGTTTGTACTTAGAGTTTGTATCTCGACTTTGTACTTTAAGTACAAACTTTAAATTTGAACTTAAAGTTTGTACTTAGAGTTTGTAATTATAGTTGGTACTTCGAGTTTTTACCTCGACTTTGTACTTGTGGTTGGTAATTTTAGTTTTTAAATGTATACTTAAGTTTCTTTTAAATAAAAGAACACCAAAAGATTTTTAAGATTTAATTGGGTCACTTCTGATTGGGTCNTCCTTAAAAAATCAAGTTATCAGTTATGAATGATCTAGACAACTTTACAAAACATTAAAGGAAACCATAGATCAAGATGAAAGAATAAACAACAATGGCGGCCATTCAACTTATTGTTGCGAAGTTTCGGATATAAGATTCAAGGATTATTCATCATTCAAAATTATCAAACTATATTATAATAGAAGGAGGGGTTACTATCATTAATCCTGTCGGAGTTTTTTTGCTGCCTTCCTGATTTGCCCTTTAATTTAAAATATGAACTTGTTTAAGAAAAAGATATGATATATGATTTATTTGTCCATCAAAAAATGAGATTTTCCTGACCATGTACAGTGTACAGTGTACGAGTTTAATTTTAAATTCTAACCTTCCTTTCTTATAGATATAATTTCAAGTGACCCTTTATTTAATGCGCAACGGTTCCTTTTTCAGATCGCATTAGTATTTCCATTGAAATTTTTGTTGAACAAAATTCGCATAAATTAACGAACGGAATTCGTTTATTTTGTTAAAAATTTACGCGAAATTCAATGTATTTTCGCTGACATTTTAAACCTCATCTTCGCGAAAAATTTTCGTTTTCGCGGAATTTTCGTTCAATTTTTGTTTGATAAAAATCGAAATTTTTCCATTCACATCAAGAAGATTGTATTTTTGCGAAAAAATAAGATTTTGCAGGAGAAATCGAAAATATTAACTAATTTCGCCAAAAATTTTAAACGAATTAAAGAAATCAAACTTTTTCACTTTTTCAACTTCATAGTTGTGAACAAATTTAGCTAATTTTTTTATGCCTAGGTTAGGGTGTTTAACGGTCCAAATGACTAGTTTGCGTTTTAAAAAATAGTCTAGACAGGTGTACAACTTATTTATTTGAAAAATTGCAACAAAGAGTGTCACATGTTAATATTTGTCAAAAGTACAAATAAATGTTTTTCCGACGTACTAATTGATGTTTTTAAAGCCTCCCTATAGCATCCTAACCATTAAAGTTAGAATTCGAACTTTTTGCTGATAAAAACTGCCTTAAACTTGAAGTTAATTAAGATATTTAATTGTATTTAATGAGTGTAAAATTTACTGGTTTAATTAGACTGATGGGTTGAAGATAAATTTAAATATTAACAGCTGTGTGCTCAAATTAACACACGGATAAACAAGACAATGTTTTTATAAAACATGCAACCGGACTGAATTGCTTTAATTCTCATATTTTTGGATTAAATCAAATCTGATGTCTAGTTCTGTGTATCCCTTTTAGTTGTGATGTGGACAGCTTGAAGCTAAGGGAAGGGTCACTTGGATAAATACAGGGTCTAAATAGAGTCTAGTACAAAATATGGCAACGTAGAATTTGTACACTTTGAGTACAGCTGTATTCTGACGTCACAAGTGTCAACAGTTGTATGTGTCCGACAAAATTATTAATAATAGTGATAATTTTAGAATAAAGTGCTTATCTTGCATTAAAATAAGCGTGATTGTGTGTGTTCTTTAGTTTCTGTTTTACACTTTTTTATTCTATCTTGGAAAACATGTCTATTTGACACTTGTGACTTGGTGTATGATGGTTGATTTCTCTCTTGCTACCTATATTGTACTTGATAATCTATTTGGGGTCACCATAAAGGATGAGGCATAGGGGCAACTTATTAAATGTAACAATTTGACTTGAATAACGCTTTTACAAGATGAATGAAATAATCTAAAAAGTAAGGAACATGTCTAAAGTGGCAGGAAATCAAGAACGCAAGAATTACTCTGCATAAGTTCTGTACAACCGCCTATAATATATACTAGCTGAAGTACCCGGCGTTGCCCCTGGAATTTTAGGAAAATTAAAATAAAATCGAATGTGGAAGAAAGGAAAATATATTTTTTAGCCTATGTAACCCCCAGGGGACCCCCATGGGTTTCTTTAAAAAATTCCAGCCAATTGGATCCAGCCGTTTGGCCAGCTATAGATAATATATATATATATATATATATTCATATGTGAATACATATATAAATATATAAATGAGTGAAGAGCTGTATTTTACAGATTTATGGGTAACCTTGTAGATAAATATACTTGAATGGATAAAAAGATAGATAGATGGATAGCTAGATAGATAAATAGATATATAGATATATAGATAGATAGATAGATATAAAAATAGATACACAAATGTAGAGTCTATTAGTAGACAACAAACAGAGATAGACACATATGTAGATAGACAGATAGATAGATAGATAGATGGTCTGACAGGTGTAAAAGATAGATCAGTTATTTCAATATACCTGGGCCTGGTATCCCTAGAAGACCCTGACAAAGTTTGATTTATTAATTGATTGATTGAATGCCGCGTCCATATTTATAATACAAAATACCGCCATTTTGAAAAACCCAAATTACATTATATTGATGGATATGTATTGTAAAGATTACTGTGATGGATATGGTTTGGTAGATAGGGCCGGGGGAAAGAATTTGGTCCGTGGGCTGGAGGAAATTACAATAAACTATACAAAAAAATTATGATAATCTTTTTTTATAGTCCGCGAGTACACTGTTCAGGCTTTAGCGGCTTTGTTTAGCCAATTAAGATGGTTCTCATTGTAATTATTTTTATTCATGCAACAATACCCTTTAGGGTTTCAACGAAACGACCATATTGTTTGAGCAAAATTTGTGCAATTTTCGTGCAAATTTTTTTTGCAAACTTTTGCGCATGAAGCACAATAATTTTTGCAAAACGTTTTCTCAAAACATGATATTTTCAAGCAAATTGACCAAAATTGATAGTTTCAGCACAAAATTAAAACTGAAGAACAAAAATTAATTTAATAGAATTAGAAAATTAAAAATTGATGCATGGTTTTTTTAGATGGCTGACTAGTTGTGTGATGGCAACCTTTGATATTTCAAATGTTGACTACTTCTAGTCGAATACATGATGATTGTAATATCTTAGGTCTATGCCCATTGAGATATATACCTGCACCCTAAGTCATCAACTTTCTATACCAACCTCAAGTGAAGTGTCGCAACACCTTGGCCTTTGGTTTTGCCTCACAACTAACTAATGCTTTTTTTCTAGGCCTTGACATAAACTTTTCAAACAACTACATGTCTAGGCCTAGACCACCTAGCATATACATTTTAAGAATGCTTCGCGTCTGAATTCTATATTAAGTTTCAAAGAAGAAATTGGCAAAATACTGTTAAACTTTTAAGTGAAAGCGTGCACATCATGATTTGCAGTGTGCATCATGCACCATCAGGTTACAAATTAGAGTTTTAGACAAGTAATCAATTCCCTTTTCAGCATTGCAATTATATGTAAACAAGTGAAATCTCGACTCATAGATAAATAATGTATACAGTTTACACCTTTAAACAACCTTTTAATAAGAATATGCTTCGCAAAATTGCGCAAAACCGAATAACGCAAAAACAGAATATCGCAATTTTGTGCGAAATTAAGTTTGCGAATAATTGCGCAAAGTGCTATTTTTTCTCTCAAAAATGAAGCGCAAAGAAAGTAGAAATTTGCGTTTTCTTGCGCAAAAGTTTTGTGAATGGAAACCCTAATACTCTAATATACCTTTACAAATATAAGTTATAATTTTAAAACAATTTCTGACAGGTTTGTGTCCAAGAATGCATGCTATGCTGATGTTGAGAAGACTGGACACAATCACATATTTCAAATCAGTGAACTAGGGATAGATCCTTACTTAGTTAGTGATTGATTAATTGAAGGTGGGTCACCACTTGATGTGCTATTGCCGCGTCATTTTATATCAATTACGCTTTCCACCTTCCATTTTCTTTCTTCTCTCATTCTGTTTTATTATTATGTACCCTTTCATTTTGTAGCATTTTTCTTGATTTTCCTGAACATTTTTAACTCTACGTTTTTACTATCCAAACATCTCTTTGTCTTTCATTTGTTATTTATTCGAATTCCTCGATTTTATCCATCTTTTACAATATCTTAATTCACTTCATTCTTTTATTTTCTATTTTTTATTTATAATAGATCTTTTATTTATAAATAGATCTTTATGCCATATTTCTCTAATTCCTATGCAATAAATAATTTAAAACTTTTTGGAAAATGTGTTTATATTTTGCATGAAAAATGTTAAGCTCTAATTTATGAACATTTTCCAGTTTTCCAAAATTTATGATCATAAAGTTTATGGAATAAAAAAATTGTTTTCTTCTTGGTCAAAAATGTTTTAGCTACATATAGCTCATATTAAATTCAACCCCATAAATTTAGTGTGTTAAATATAATGATAAAAACTTATTTTGAAATTTTTTTAGTTTCAATAAATCGTAAAAAAAAATAAAAAAATATTTCACTCCAAACCCCCATCCCCCCACACTCGTCTGTTATTAAAAACCTTCTTTTTCACATTAATATGGCTCTTATACTATTTACAAAATTGATATCTTATTTATTATACGTTAATAATTTTTATATGTTTATGATATTTATTTTACGTAAATATTTCTGTAAATGAAATTTAATTGATTAATAATAGTTTTATCACATATTTAGGTTGATATTAGTAACTTTATTCCATCACTTTGAGGTCTTTTTCTGGGAAAAAAACCTCAAAGAGTAATGCTCATTATCAGGTTGAACTACACTTTGCTATCTTTAGATCTAGCTTGGAGAATCTGTTCAAGAGTTAAACTTGATCCTTGGCCATAACCTCCATTTGATCCAGAGTTAAAGCCTCCATTTAATCCAGAGTTAAAGCCTCCATTTGATCCAGAGCTGAAGCCTCCGTTTGATCCAGAATGATGGGCTCCATTTGATCCAGAGTTAAAACCTCCATTTGATCCAGAGTTGAAGCCTCCGTTTGATCCAGAATGATGGCCTCCATTTGATCCAGAGTTAAAGCCTCCATTTGATCCAGAGTTAAAGCCTCCATTTGATCCCGTGTTAAAGCCTCCGTTTGAACCTGCAGAGTATCCTCCACTGGATCCTCTGCATTGATAGCTTCCTAGCTCAGGAGTGGCGCATGCCTCATACGACCAGTATTTCCGATATCTATCAGATTTACTCAGATCACTGCACCGCGAGTATCTGGTGTCAACATAGCACCACTTCGCTCCCGTCTCATCTGCTGCTTTACAGTTGCCGTTGATTCTACCGTATTTGTCCCTAAAGGTTAGAGGAGAGCACTGACAATGGCAGTTTACTTCTCTGGACGCTGCCCGCAATATTACATCGTCGCACAGGCCTAGTGTTGCAAAACATAGAAGGAGAATTGCAGTCTTCATTCTTACACTGTGTCTTCTTCAAGATTTGCAAATAGATACTGCGAATAAATTAGCTGCTTTCACGCCTTAAATGCAAAATCATTTCAGGATTTCCAAAGTTTAAAAAATAGTTTTATCTTTGATTACATCATGGGAAACATAATATAATATTGTTTATAAAAATAAAGAGGGCGGTTCGGGGGCTTTTACATCTTTTTTATTTGTTTAAATTTTTAATATTTTGCATGCACCATGCTGATACCGGATGTCTCCTGCAACCATGAAGATACATTTAGAAGGAATCTACTTTTTTTAATCTTCTTAATTTTAAATATCATTGGGATTTCAGACCATCATTGCAACCATTACAGATTAGGAAAATCCAGTATTTTATTAAAGTAACATCGATAAGATGTAATTTTGCGACTATGGGATAGATGGTTTTCTCTTTTTTTAAAAATCGTTTCGTTTTAAAAACGACTAAGAAAAAACGAAAAACGAAACGGCCGTTTTTAAAAACGATCGTTTTTGAAAAAGATAAAAAAATCGAAGAAGTCGTTAAAAACGAGTTGCGACATGATTTTTAAGGGCCAGACTAGATTTTAAGTAACACTCCGTTAATAGATTGGCATGTTCGATTCTTATACCCACCTTTGCCAGCCTGCAAGTAAGTAATGGTTAGTCTGATATTTGCGGCAATAATGTATACAAAATAAAGCTTTCATGTTCATCGTTCACTATAGTTTCAGATGAAGTAAATATTTCCATTTACTGATGATAGCACCGTCTGAAGGATTCATAACTCTAATTGGATAATGGGATAGGTAGAAAGATAGATGTTACCGCTATTCTATTTCTATTGGTTTAGAACAGACAACAAACACATGGCTGAACCCTGATTGGATCAGGCGCTAATTGACTTGGCATACAGGAGTGCTATTGCCGTAAAATATATATTTTCTTTATGTGACCACGCTGTATTGTTGACCAACAAGAGATTAATCTATATAATAAAACAAGACATTCATATATACGTTGCCTATAGCCGGCCAAACGGCTGGACCGAATGGGTTGACATTTTTTGTGGACACTCATGGGTGGCTGGGAGGTGTTATAGGCTAAAAATAAAATTTCCAACTTTTTTTTTCCCGCGGGTAATGCCGGGCCCTTCAGCCAGTATTAAATATTATATTTTTGCTTTTTGTAGTGAAAAAGAATGGATACACCCCCCCCCCTGTTTTTTAGTGATGAGATCCTTCCAATTCCCTATAGTATTAATACCCGCATCTCGAAGATTTATTATGTTGCATATCTATATATTGTATAATGGTTCCAACCCTCTGCATCATTGACACTTTGATTCAGAAAACAGGGGGATATGTATCACACCTGGAACTATATCAGGGTTCAGGATGGATTCTCCGTATACCAAATACACCAGCGGGATATTCATCCCTGTAAAGTTGTAGTTCAAGGTTCATATTAACATGAATTATAACACTGATCTATCCTGAAGTATTATTCAGTGGATATTAAGTTGAGAGCTCTGCATTTATCAGGTTAAATCCCATTTTATTTTATTAATTGTCGGTCTTTAAAATAATAAAATGTCTTTTATAAACTTGGGAAAGTCGTTTTAATTTCAAGTTAGCCTATATTTCAAGAGATGCATTACTGGCTTGCGGTACCCTTTAAATCAGTATTTGATCATTAATCATCATCTATAGTGTATTATCTTAATTCTTAAACAATTTTGAATAAATTATTGCATTGTATTCGGATAAATTGAAAACCGTGAAAAAATTCTAAATTCGGATGATGTAAAAAAATGAGCCAACAGCATTAAATGTTTAATTGTCTCTTTTCGGTAAAAATTCTATAAAAATCGTTATTTTTTTTCTTTAAAAACTTATCTAAAGAAACAAATTAAATTTTAATAGAAACCTCCAGATAAAAAACCAAAATTAAAACTTGCGGGGTTGCATCAGTTTTATTTTAATGACTAAGATTAAGTGTCAAGTGACCCGCCATTGAAAGCGCGCGGAAATATACCCGATTAACAATGGTACCCTTGAACCTTTAATTTGATTAATAATGTGGAAGATAAAGTTTTTCTAGTTTGGAAAGTTTATAAGTTTAATAATTTTTCATTAAAGTAGAAAACTATAAATACACATTATCAACTTTCAAACACAAAAATATGGATATCTAACTCGTATTTTATCAAACAAAGCTTTGTAAATCGGACATCTAATGGAGGGTTACTTGAAATTGAGTTTACAGTCCCTACAATCAACCAAAATTAATTTTAAATTTAAAATAATTTACTTCATACGAATGCGTCGAAAAATAATCGATGACTAATTGATGAATGATTTGATTCTTTTACGATCCCAGTTGTATATTTGCAGCTTTCTGAATTTGTATAGATGCTACGTTCTTCAGTATAAGTCGTTTTTATAAATTTTCTCCTTGTAGACGCAACAGCTAGACAGAAGTAAGTTTAGTAGCGATCAAAAGCGATTATTTTTCGTCTATACCCCCTTTAGTTTTTCCAGAACAGTCCCTTTAAAGTACATTTTTGTATTTGTTATGAAACGTTGTTTTCGTATACGAATATGAAATTATGAAATAATTGTGAATTGATAAAACATTTTTATTGTTTAAGACAGAAAGTAGCACGCAAAACGTTTTAAAACAAAATTGATGAATAAATATACTTGCCTAATCTAGTTTTCCCCTATAACCACAAGAAACAATAAAAATACGAAATTTTTTAGAAATAATTCGCATCAAAAATTGCATAAGTGATTGACTAAGTCATATCTAGATTCGAAGTATTTTTTCAAAAGTTCCTCAAAATTACTTGTTGCGAATACTTTATGAAAACAATATAGAAAATGATGGCAAAAAATAGCAGTGTTTGTCATACTCATACCACCAAGGCTTGCACAATTCACCCCCTTACCCCATATTTTATCGGATCGATCGTATAAAGTGTATGATTTAAAAACACACAAATAATCAATTATATGATCTAAACTGAAATCTTAAATTTGTTTCGAAAAAAAATCAAAAGAGGATTTAAAACATGTTCAATTAAAAACTTTTTGTATCTATTATTTTTAACTAGAAAGCCCACCTTTGGTAAACAGTTTTTCTAAAATTAGTTTTTAAAGTTAAATATATTCATTATAATAAAAAATGTTCGATTTATGCCCTTGCATTCCACGATAGCGCGGCATTCCAAAATGTCCGTGCGCAAAACCACCAACATTTGAATATTTGTCATATTTGAGAAATGGTTCAGTTTTACAATACAACCATTATCAACTGAGAACTACGCAAAAACTTCCAAAAATCCGCAATGTATATCCGCACATGTCGTGGTCACTGCTCACTACCCAAGCAAGAAATGGCATATTGAAACCAAGGTTTGCAATTAATCTAACAATAATTTCTAACTTACAACATGTAATTAATTCACATTGAGAACAAAATCTGACATGTACATCATGAAATAGAAATGAAAGAGCAAAAATTGGGTTGATTTGTAATATATAAATATCTACTTTTATGCGCAAATAGAAATATGTTCAAAAAGCACATTTCAGCTACTCCCACAGTCAGCTTTAGTGCTAGAACTTTCCAAACGTTTATAAATTATCTTAAAGCCATGATAATTAAATGAATGGAGTCGTTGCCAAAATCTAAACCCTATATCTCTGCAACATGCCGGTGTAAACCTTTGATATTTCAAACTTAGATTATTTGATCCAACAGAAATATTAAGGTTCTACGACATTCATGGTTGTGAAGATGTAAGGTTCAGAAAATCTGAGTTTGTGGCAAAGACTCAATTCCTTTACCATTTTGATCACCATGTATCTTAATGGGTTTTTAAATGAGAGGCAAAGATAAAAATAATTTTTTCCTATTTTTAGCCTGAAAAGGACATAATTTTAACAATTATGGGTCGATTTTAATAATTATGGGTCGATTTTGTAGAAAATATAAAAAAACCTAAGGCAGAAGCATTTGATAAACGAATTACCAAATCTGTTTATCATGATGGCACCAGAGTTAAACAGTAAACAACCTATCAAACTAAGCCAATTTTTGCTTTTGAATTTATTTTTATTGGATGTATACATTATAGTTTGTTCTCAATGTGAATTAACTAATATTTGGTCAAGGAAAAACATAAAATTATTTTTTGTATAATTTGATAAATCTAAAAGACCTAGTATTTGAATTGTGAACAAATACAACAACATTTGGATGTGTTTAATCCTATTACTGTGATGCTTATAGATCGGCTGCATGGAGTATGTTCATGGTTTAAAGCTTAATCTTTTTTATACTTAAAGGGACCATACATTTAAAGAGCTAGCATGTCCGATTTAAATTATGCAAATAGTCCTTTTAAGCACCCTNCCTTGAAATCCAACTATCTACAAAAGATGTTGATTTGCGAAATACATTCTTTGTTAAATTGAAGAGCGAAGGAAGGCGAGAATCATTGTTAATTAGACATGGTTCTACATCATTCTAGATTTCAAATATTGAACCGACTTTCTTCACATTTCACCAAAATAGCATATGTTTTTAAAACTTTCTCTGAATCATAGGTTTCACATATATATATATATGCTACTTCCTCGCCTTTTTAGCCACTGTCTCATTCAAAGAAAATATTTTTTTTTGTACTCGTCCCATATAAGATATAATATACTCGTCCCATTCCAATCCAAATATATAAAATATTCGTACCATTCCAATCTAAATATATAAAATACTCGTCCCATTCCAATCCAAATATTTAAAATACTCGTCCCATTCCAATCTAAATATATAAAATAGTCGTCCCATTCCAATCTAAATATATAAAATACTCGTCCCATTCCAATCTGAATATATAAAATACTCGTCCCATTCCAATCTACATATATAAAATTCTCGTCCCATTCCAATCTAAATATATAAAATACTCGTCCCATTCCAATCTAAATATATAAAATATTCGTCCCATTCCAATCTAAATATATAAAATAGCTTAAATGGCCCGGCGTT